CATTCACTGGTCAGCTGAAGTGTTAACCCAAACAAGTGCCATAGGCTGTAGCTGTGGGTCGTGATGTAGAGGCCAATGAACTTGTGACCTCTTGAGGAGACAAGATGGAACATGACAAGAAGCTGCCTCTTTGAAACGCTTCCCCAACATGGTGCCTTTAACAGCGCCGTGGAAGCTAACGTGATGCACTCACTAACGTTTCTGGAGGGTTTTTTTGCACAGGTGCTGGAGTGGGCGCAAGAGAAGAGGAAGCTTAGTGTCCTGCACATCCACGGCGTTTACACCAACCCCAGTGGCATAGTGCTCCACCCGGCCGGCTACCAGAATGTGCTGCGCAACACAGAGGTCATGGTGAGGCAGCCCTGCCTTCTCTCTGTAGGGCATACCTTGGGGTCCCCGACGTTGTGTATATACATCTCTCATTTCCCATGCGAGCTCCTGGCAAGCCTGTATGTTAACCGGGCATAGACTCAGCTGAGTTTAAAGACTGAGCTTCACACAGGGTGGTGGGAGAGGCCCTAATTTTATGAAATAGAAGAGGAGGGATGAATTCTCTAGCCCGCTAAGCTGAAACACAGTGAACAACAACCACGCTTGTGTTGAGGGTGATTGAATGATGGCACTCCTGCCATCATCTCATCATCAGTGATAAGGTAGATGCTGTCTCTTGTGCCTTGTGAAGATAAAGTGTGCCTTGACTAAGAACATCTTTCCCTTTTTTAAAGCGAGAGATTCAGAAGCTGTATGAAAATAAGTCATTCCTGTTCTTGGGCTGTGGTTGGACTGTTGATGACACCACGTTTCAGGCCCTGTTTTTAGAGGCTGTGAAGCACAAATCAGACCTGGAGCACTTCATGCTTGTACGGAGGGGAGATGTGGATGAGTTTAAGAAGCTCCGTGAGAACATGCTGGACAAAGGGATTAAAGTAATTTCCTATGGAGATGAATATGCAGATTTGCCCGAGTACTTTGAGAGGCTGACGAGCGAGATCGCCATGCGGGGTCGAACAGGTACGGGGGTTACGGGCTGTGCGGCATGCCTGTGCATACGTCCACTGCCTCCGCACTTAACTCAGGGATCCTGTCTTATGCAATGCGGTTCTTGACTGTCACCATGGACTTTGGAGTGTAGGCAGTGTTAACAGTCCCTCTTCTCTGCGCTGTATTAATCCTTAAGCTTTTTTTTTCCCCAAAAATAAATTGTCTGCAAGTGCAGCCGAATTTGGGGTTTACTTTTACGAAATCACTGCTCTTAAAGTTTAAACAGCTCTGCTGCTTCCCACATGTCCAAACTCTATTTTTAATGTGCAGCTGCAATTGTTTATTCCCTTTCTACTGAAAGGAAGGGGCGTCTCAGTCTTTCTGACCTTCATGCTAATGCTGTAACGTACAAGACATCTCACTAATAAATCAGAAAAATGGGGAAAAGCAGCGAGTTTGCTAGCCAGAGCCTTGCTGGCATGTGTTCTGAGGGTAAAACCCAGCCAGGAAAGCCTGTCGTGTGAAACTGCTGCACGTAGGCAGCAGGCAGCATGCTGCCCGCATCGCTTCC